TTTTTTTTTTTATTCTGAGCGCTCTCTGTCCTCGTTGGTCGAATTCCGACCCCTCTCTCGCTTTTGATTGGTCACTTTCCGGGCCTCTCATTTTTCTGATTGGATGATCTTTACCAAGTCTCTTAATGGCGGCTGGGAGATACGAGGCGAATTCTGGACCTCTCCGCCAGGGGGCACTGGCGGCCTTCCGCAAGCGCGGCTCCGCGACCTAAAACTAGCATCCCAAGCGTAACCGCCTACTGGAGATAAATGGACAGAGACGCTGCAATCTGAATGGCTCTTGGTCTCAGGCTGAGAAGAAACTGGGAGGGATGGGGGCTGTGGGAAGCTGAGAACACCTGCCCCAGCCATAAGGAATGCTACCTCGATGTTGCCAGATTTTCAGATTTTGTTCAAGTGTAGCTGAACATCTATGGTTCCATAAGTATCTCTACGTTTATAAGTTAGCAACAAATTCACTATTTTTTAGTGGTTGGACAAGCCCAACACATCACATAATATGCTGGCCTGTGAGAGTCATCAGTCTGGGGGTAGTATGGGTCTTTGATAGCAAGTGTTCTATAAATAGGATCTGATTTACTTAACCCCTGAAGTGCCACAGTGTCAATGGGTATATTTATAGCACTGGCCTCATAGAGGTGTGATGAGAATGTGAGTTAATAAGTACATAGAACTTTAGGACAGTGCCTGACGGTAGGTGTTATGGAAATTGTTAGCACTACATCCTAGCAGGACTGTGAGATAGGTATGCTTGTCCCTTGTTTCTGCCGAGCCCCTGGCACCTAGCTATTTAGTAGGTGCTCAGAAAATATTTAAGCGCTGAGTTCAGGTTTGGACCTATAGGGTGGGACCTGCCCTGTGGCCTCCAGAAAGAGGATGTGCGGTGGCAGGGTGAGGGGAGAATGGAAATATAAGCTTGGTGCTTGGAGCTGAGGCCCAAACCAGGGTCTTGCAGGTGTGGGGGAGGGTGGGAATATATACAGTACCCGAAATTATTCATTCACTCATTCATTCAACAACTATACGTGGGTGCTGACTCGGGGCCAGGCTCTTGACTGAGCCAGCCAGGTGCCCCTGGGGCCAGGCTGTTAAGATCATACACCTCACAGTCTCATGGGTGATAAGAAACAGGGGTTGTTAATTGCCCATTCCTGTGCCAGGCCCTGCGCCAAGTGCTTTACCTACATAACATAATTCAGTCCCTACAACTACTCTGAAATACACTCACGTAGTATCCCCAGGTCACACAGGAGGAAGGCAGGGTGGAGGAGGATCAAGGAGCTTGGCCAAGGTCCCACCACCAAGTGAGCAGCTAAGGAGAGTGGAAGATCAACCATCCCGCTCACCTGTTCACCCTGTTTTTCTCTCAAAAGCCTCTCACATGCTTCCTTCTCTGTGCATTATTGTGCCGCTCACTCCGGGCTGTCCCTTGTCTGCTTTCCCACTGTGTCTCCTCCCCAGACAGTGAACTCAGGACAAGAAGCAGATCTCTTTGGTTCGTAGAGTGATCCCCTCCTCCAGGAAGCCTTCACTCACCGCCTCAGTCTAGGGCAGGCACCTCCCTCCTCTGGACCCTGACAACCTGTTGTGTCTCCCCCATCCAGGGCTCGACCCCCTGCCTGTGTCTCCCTATCCCACCCTGGCCACTTTGTCTGAGCTTCCCAGGTGAGCCCACTCTGGGCTGTCACTGTCGGGTCACTGGTCTGTCTCCCCACGGACTAGGGGCTCAGAGAGAGTAGGGTCCAAGGCTCTCTCAGTAGCTGCTCTTTCCCGGCATCACCCAGACCAGAACTGGTCACAGAAAATATATCAGTGAGTATTTGTTGCATAGATGAACAAATGGGTTTCCAAGCTGCTATCATTGTCTTATGTTACTGACGAGGATATAGAGTCCCAGGTAATTTGGGTGATGTGTCCAAGTGCTACAACTAGTGAGAAAATAAGCAGGGAATTGACTCTGGGCAGCCTGAGTCCATAACCTGTGTTCTGATCCAAATATGGGAAATGACTAGGGGGCTTTCCAACGAGGTTGATCTCTTCCTGCTCTTTCCCCAAGACTTGTCTTTTCCTTCTAGAAAGCTTTGGGAGCTTTGGGCATGGGGGAGGAGAGCAGGCAGGAGGGTGGGAGGTAAGGGGAGTGGGAACAAGGGAGAGGCCGGCTGAAGCACTAGGGCTGGGGCTGATTTGGAGGATAGAATGGGAAAGTCCTGAGGGGGTTCTCTAGACCCATAGGGGGCAGGCGGAGTCGACTGCCGGAGGTGCGGGGGCGGAGAAAGGGTGGG